CCTTCGGCATCTTGGAGAGACGATCGTTCGGTATTAACAACAGGCTGGACGCCGATATCGTTCTGGTGGTAACACAAAGGTGGTGAGTTTGACTGGCCGTTTCTTGCACTTTTTTCTCTTCTGCTTACATTCTAAGCAATCGAACTTTTCATTCAATTTTTGCTTTTCGTTTTTCGAATTCGGTTATTTAAAGTTACGTTTTAGTTATTGAAACTATTGATCTGATGGTCTGAACCCACCAAAATGTTGAGCACAATTTTGCCAAGTCTAAGACACCTATAATGTGCCAGTGAAATCACTGCTAGATAGAACGGCCAAACAATATACACACAATATATCACGCCATAAGAGACCTATGCAAAGAGCAGAAATCTGTATTGTTACAAATCTGGGAACCTACTAATGAAGTGAAGTGAGGCTAATACCAAATATGCTAGGCTATTACAAATATGCAGAATTAAAATGCCGCGCTCAACAAGGTAAACACAGCCAAAACTTCTTCGACTCCGGCCCCTTCCCTTACCTGACAATGATTTTGTATTTCAGGGAATAGTAAATTGCTTCGAATACACATACATTCTGTTCAGTCCGAATCAGATGCCTTGGTTTTAAGTTTGATTCCTGGGTAGAATTTAGCCTACACAACAAAGCCAACCTATTCTGCAAGGCTTGTGTACACCGCAAAACCTTTTCAGTTCTATTGGAAATCAACTTTACGGATATTCGGCATTCACCCATCCACATTCCACCCACTCCCACAACTGCGCTACTCCCGGAATCGCCCGGTGTGCTGGAGCTTCAAGAGTGGCCACGACCTACATTACAATCAAGATAGGTTAAATGTTCCTGTTTCTATCGGGAGATTACCATGCCTGATTGGATCTGAAACCATGGCGAAAGCTCTTGCCTTCAAGGAGCTGGAAGATCTGTTCAAAGCCCATTATTCAGTAGTTCACAATATTATCCTTGAACAAGCTCCTTTCTTTATAGGTTGAATCGGTACAACTTACCAGAACATGCAAGCACTGAGACCTGCAACGGGCGAATTCCCCTAGTTTCCTCGTTCGTCCCACAGAATGCCGGACTTTCTGCTAGGCGATCTGCAGCCTACACATGTCGCTTACGGACCGCAATGTGATAAGTGATAAGTCTGCACGCGCTGGTAGCGCTACAATTCCCGAACATCTAGTGAGGACCGATAGACAGCATATCTAAACACAAAACTGTAAATGCATAAATATAAAAACGACTATGGGATCAAATATCGAGTCGAAAACTTAAAGGCTCATTAAAAGAAACTATTTAGAATGACTCAGAAATGCTACACATTACAGGGTTCACCAACGACATAGTTCTCTGCTTGCTTTTGAAGTCGCTTGGATTGCCCGGTATTGGTTTTGGAAGGCCAGTGACACTAGTAACGTTCCTGGGGTGTTTTTGACATGTGATTATGTACGAATACATCAGCTTTCAGCTCGTTATGTGTGCGAGGAAACGTTATGGTGTTCTCTCGCAGTTTTGAAATTACGGTATGGTATTTATCCTTAGGGAGTAGGTTTTGGCTGTCAGCTCCTCAAGACCGCTGTAGGTTTCGGAAAACCCGTTCCACAGTTTAGCCGATTACTATGTATCTTCTACTCCCCCAGCCTTTTTAATGACCACTAATCAGTCATTATATTGGATTGTTTTACTTTCAGATGATGACTCTATAGGGAAAATGATTCTAAACCAATGTTCTCTCTTTCTAATTGGTCCCTAAAACATCTGGGGCTGAACGGAATGTCCTACCTTTATCGCAGTAAAAAGCAATGCTTCTCTCAAACAAGCACACCAACTCCCCCAAAAATGGTTCTACTCTAGAAATACACTCATTTGCAAATCAGTTTGGTTTTCTTGAGAAACTTAACTGAATCTCTCGTTTATTCTACTCTACAACTGAATGTGCCTCACACAAGCCATCTCATGTTTCAGTTGGCACGATATTCGAGATATAACAGTATATTTTCATGGAGGAAACTACTCACAAAGTTGCTGAAAACTCTTCGACAGCCCACGACCGGTTTCATCCTTCTTGGGTCTCATCATGTAGGCGCAGTCCCCGGGTTTCCGTCAACCTTATGTTCTACTTGAATATCATGCCAACTAAAGCATTAGGCAGCCTGTGTGCAGCACATTCAGTTGTAGAATATCATACCGTGAAAACCAAACTGATTTGAAAGTGAGTGTATTTCTCAAAAACAGTCCAATTTGGGTTCAAGTAGAACATAAAATTGACGGAAACTCGGGGACTGTGCCTACCTGATGAGCACCAAGAAGGGCGAAACTGGTCTTCAGCAGTCGGAAAGTTTTCAGCAACCTTGTGAGTAGTTTCCTTTATGGTTCTACTCTAATTTACAGATGAAGTTATGCTTACCCGTACAGTGCATTTCTGTTAACTGACTTTTATATAATAATTAAGGCAATATTGTTTTCCTTTTATCGGGTAATGTAAAACTGTCGCTCGATATTTAACTGGTATCAACTTACTATGGTCAGGTTATCCACATTACGATGGATGGTTAGCGAATGGAGCAACTTATTGGTCACGTGCGACAACCAGATCTGTTTGCCGCAGTCCTTTGAATTAGTATAGAATGATGAATCGTCAACGGAAATCCCACTTCTTCAAGTCAAGGATATTATTTCAGTCAACAGAAAACTACTCATGAGGTTTTGGAAAACTCTTCGACAGCCCGCTACCGGTTTCCGCTTCATCGGGCTCATCGCGTAGGCACAGCCCCAAGTTTACGTCAAAATTGTGTCCTATCTGAACGCACACTGTAAGAAATTCGTGAATTTCACTCATTTGATCTTTATTTAAAACCATATTAGTGTGCGAATGAACGAAACCCGTATATATTACTTCACACTTTCAGCATAAACCCTCGACACATGATCGAATCCGCTCGCCTGTTCATCCCATTTACACAATAAACAGCGCTTGCTAGGGCTATCTACTCCACCCCTCCCCGCCCCGGGGGAACTTTTCCCCGGTCCAAATTAACCCACTAACAGGTATTGAATCCCTATTGAGACAGGCAACTAGCACAATCCGTTTTCGGTATTGCTTGCTAGCATTCGCAAATATTTTTATCATCTTGTCTCATCTTGTTCCATGCAAGCTCCAGAAAATTTCCACCCTAATATGGACAGACCAATGAACCTGCATTATCTGAAGTGAAACTTATTATGGGCAAATCACGTAGTTGATAACTGGCTGCATGTGAATGATCGACAACCTTAGGCTTCCACTTTGTTGCATAGTTTGGTTCTGCAGACTACATTGCGATAAGTACTGTCGTGGGGACTAAGCGAAGCCGGCCTGCTGTTTGAGTATTGGCAAGGTCAACCGGTCGAGAAACACCATAGGTTTGATTCCTTCTTGCGGGGAGCCATCCATAGCATGGTGTTTTTCTGCCTTCCAATATAGACTTAGAGGATCTAAACTCTAAGATCCCCCTATCCAAAAATATTAGACAAGGGCGGTTTCTCTCACCGCACCGAAGCAGTAGATAAAAGCCACTGATGAAACGAACTGCGTTGTCTAGTTTTCATGAAGCAGAAAGCAGCTGCAGTTAATTTCAGTGAGGATAACGATTTCACTACTCAGGGAGGAATATCAATACAAAAAGACGGATTTCCTATTGCATGAGAAGCTGGACAACATCAGTTCGTATGACGTGAATTACAAGACTGGAGAATGAAGGGCGCAAAAAATTAGTCCAAGTGCTAGACAAGCAACCATTCGTTTTCCGATAATACCCCTTTCGGGGGCGAGATGTTCAAGTGCTAAGAGCTTGAATTTACTGGCCGGAAGGTCGGTGGTTCGAACCCGACTTCTGCCTCTCGACTTCTCCTGTCTAGGCTTGGACAACCTGGCAGTATCTCAGCCCTCATGCTTCCTTCGGATTGCATGACAGCTAGGCACCGAAGGGTGTTACAGCTGGACGATTTTTTTAAACGCACCTTTCAACTACGAACCTAAACGACCCGGCTCAAATATCCGTAGAGTTCGGTAGGACGCGCACTCTAGATGATTCCCAACAACAGCCAAAAGTTTTTCCCAGAATCCCTGGCTTTGCCACACAAAAACTGATGGGGTTTCACTTCAAACCTCAAAATATCATCACTGCCTGGTGAAAATACCCCTCGGGTAGAATACTTACTACTAGTGTATGCAGCGCACCGATAAATGTGCGAATATGAGGGACTCTCCCAATGGGTCAGAGGTTGACGAAACTTTGCAATGTTAGAATCCCATCCATCCGCCAGCCTTGTGCTTGATCTGTTACAGCAGTCCGCAAGCTAAAGTCCAGAACAATGATTAGGTGCATGTCAACGTCAATAAACTCCAAGCTCGAATTTCAAATAGGATTCAACGATAGCGAAATACTTCTGAAATACTTCTGGTGATGTTCATCAATCGGCAAAAAAGGCTAAATTCCGGTGTCTTAAAAACTCAATAAGGTAACGCTAACGATGGTGATGTTCATCAATTGGCAAAAAAGGCTAAATTTCGGTGTCTTAAAAACTCAATAAGGTAACGCACCACGGATGAAGCGGTCTGTTCCTGGTCAATAAAATCTTATAAAGCTATTGTGAAACCCACTTAGAACCAACCGCTCGGATTCGCCCAAAAGTGATCACATTAAACCTAGGAATCAGAACGATCTCAGCAATTTCTGTTCTCACCCTTTTTTGATTATCCCTAACAAAAAAACGAACATGTTTGAAAAAAGGTGCTCTTTAGCTGTTGTAAAATCGAGTGTAAGTGCATGGTTTCTGTGACAGAGCAATGGTTTTGTTCTTTAGACTTATTGAAATAACGGTGATCTACAAAGGGTGCACACATCGGGAAAAATATAAAGTTTCACACAGCCTATTACACTTGGATACGTGTGATGTTTAGCGACGTACACAGTGACAATTACAGTTGCATTATGCGCACAAGATGAAGTTTGTCAGCTGTCATCGGATATAATCTTGCTTACGCCCCATGCAAGATCGGAACAGGCATTGTAGGAGTTCCCCATGGGACTGGCGGTAACTCCGAGTCCGGTTTCATCAACTTGATTTGGTGAATCGTCGGGTTCTCGGTCGGTACAAGATGATTCAAGATGCTTGTTCAGGTAGGATTTTAGGGCGAAGTTCTTGTGACAGTGTTTGCACTCGTACTGCTTCAAGTTTGAATGGGTCTGCATGTGAGCACGCAGGTTAGATCGGTCAGCAAATGCTCGTCCACAGTGTGCGCACCCATAAGGCTTTTCACCAGTATGTGCTCTCCGATGACCTTGTAACAACCAGGGCCGGCTGAATGCTTTCCCACACAAATCGCACTGATGCTTAAGGTCGTGTGTGAGTATATGCATTGAAAGCGCGGGCATGGAAACGTAGGCCTTGCCACAGTGGGGGCATTTTCTGGCTGCCTGACTGTCAAGACTTCGATGAGTTTGTTTATGTCTGCTGAGGTTGGAGGATGTCGCGTAGCTCTTACCACAATCCGGACAGTTGTACCTTTGGCTGGAATGTTCTGTCAAAGGGCTAACTGCAGTCAACAGAATTTGATTGTTCGGCGTCGAGTGGGTTGTAGGAAATGGACTTGTTTTTAGAGATAGATGTTCTAGCGTACCGTCACTTGAGGATCCCGTCACTGATGAACCTGAATGTCCAGATGAAGAACTCCAACTCATCATTCCAGATTCAGTGCGTGGTTTGCGACCGCTCATCTGGCTCTTTCTTTTTCCGCGTCGTCTTGATCGGCCGTCAGAGATGAAGAACGCATCGTAGGTGTAGCCGACGGTAACTCCGGCCTGAAAACCGGATTTTCGGCTCTTTCCACGCCCAACCGAGCCAGAACTTGGAAACGACATGTTACTGACCTGACACTGACTCTCCCTATTCGGCTCCATCTTGACACCTGACAATTCCGCTGTACTGCCTTCATACTCCATCGAATTTGGCCGATTTTGACTTGGTGACAAGTTATTTGCGATCCCGTGTATTCTGGACGGAGTACTTTGAGTCCCCGGAAATTCGAGCTGCAACATTTGAGGTAGTCGGACTGTCTTGGTAAGAGGAGTCTGGCAAGGGGAACATGCACTTGGCTGTAACCGAGGCATACCATAGTCGGATGTTGGGACCTCCGGACTCGTATGGCGTCTTCCGGCCAATGATAAGTCAATGCAGCCATCTGAATGAAGTTAAAAAAGGGAGGGGTGTTGAGGACGGTGTGAAAACCAACAACAGGTAACACTTCAGTCAGAAAAAGGGAACTGATGTCAGGCCGGCTATCCAACCAACGGCAAGGGTGGAATTCATTTCCTCATTATTTTCTGCCCCAGGGAGTGTTTAATTAGTCTAACATATGGACAAAACGGACTAGCTATGGTGGATGAGAAATGACTATGAACAACAGTAACCCTCTCCAATCGGGTTTCATCTATGACTAACAGTTCCGGGCATAATGACCTGCAGTGATACTCATTCTGCTCGTTCCGTAGCATTTTTGGTTAACCATGATGGGCATTCATGTCAGTTCTGTCTAAAGAAACGAGATCTTTTGACCAAATGGTAGCCCGGTTTCGGGTGAGTTGGCGGTGTGATACACACACGCAAGCACATAATACAGACAGCACATACAGACGAACATGCAAGGTGCACACAACGAGATAAGTTGGTACTTGAAGGAAAAGCCTGGGGGGTTCATGGAGTGCACCAACACTCATCAGAGAGATGCCGGAACGAACAGATGGTACTGGAAATTTGGTTCGCAATTTAAAGCGTTACGCAAAGGATGCTAAGTTTATTGATTTCATATCGGAGTTCTGTAATTTTTTGGTCACTGGTAACCTGAGTAACCCAGTGTTGGTCAATTAGCCCAAATATATTTTTACCGTTCAGTTCATGCTAAAACTTTTCATATTGGGGTTGTATTATACAGTTCATCCATTAACTAGCAGTGATTGGTGAAAGATTTGTTAGTCGGCATCTCCACTGGCTTGAGCGAGTACCAGGACAGAAGAAGCTCGAAGTCGCTCATTTCCATCATGGTAGTTTTGATTTTTTTAAGTATAATTTTTCGAGCTTTTTCTCACCTGAAGCGTAAAATGTCGTCAAGGAGGAGTTGTTTTTTCAGCTGTAAGTCGTTCTAACTAACGTTTAGGACGTTGAATAGGTGATTCTCAATTTTTTCCACTTAAATGACTATGCGGCACGCCATCGACTATCTTTTCCATCTACATTATGTGACCAGTAAAGCAGGCCAACCACCGAATGGAGATGCTTCAGATCCTCTACAGTAGGTTCGTCAGTCCTCTCCTAGTGGCTTATATGAATTTGGGTTGACAGTACGCCCAAATATAGCTGTGCCTTTGGTAGATGGATAACAGCTAATCTATCAAGAGGCCTCCGAGCTCACCTTTTTCGGAGGTAAAAATTTGTTTGTCCAGTGAACGGTGTTGTTAACTATTCCAGAGATCAGTGAAATTTCGTGAGACTTTTGGATTCGGGTCTGATCTCAATCTCATTTTTGATGACCGTGAGGTGTCCACACCTAACCAACTCGGTGATCCATTGTCAGCTACTTTCCATTCTGCAACTATTTATGTCTTACCCGGAGAAAATAAGTCTCAAAATAAACCTACCCAACCAGCTAAAAAACGCTCACAAGGGAGGTCTATTAAAAAGGAGTAAAGCGCTTACCAACAAATGAGTTTTTTTACTGTAATAGCCCGGACTGAAACCAGGTTTGCTAACACGGTCAACAGCCTCGATATGCTGATCGACTAAAATGTGCATGAAAGATACATGGCATGATAAGATAAATACGACTCTGATTGGTGTGATCGTATCAACTCTAGTCTAGCTAACAACAAATCTTGACAATTCGACAACTACACCCATTTACATGCCAATTTAGTTTTCACGGGAGACCCACCTGAAACTCAGCTGATCCTTTGTTTTGTAGTATTCTCTAACTAAATGTGCTGCACAAAGGCAGCCCCCCCCGCTTCAATTCGTAAGATATCCGAGATTCTACAATATATGTTCATGAAGGAAGCTGCTCACAAAATCACTGATTACTCCTCAGAGGAGTCCCAAGAAGAGTGAACACATTACTGGGTTATGAAAGTTTTTCATCAACCTTGTGAGTAGTTTTCTTAAAGAAGATATACTGCAATATCTCGGGTATCAGAGCAAGTGAATTATGAAGCCTAGCGGCCTACTTGTAGCACGTTCAGTTTAAGAGTATCACAAACGTTTCGGTTGTTTCTTCCATGAAAAACAAACTTGTATTCAAACGAGTCTAATTGTCAAGGTTCGTGCAATTTGGGTTCAGGCAAAAGTTTAACGGAAACTCAGGGTTTGCGTCCACCTGATGAGCCCCATGAAGAGCGAAACTGAACCTGAGCTGAGGAACAGTTTTCAGCGAGCTTCTGAGTAGCTCTCATCGTGAAAACTTGGCAGTTAACCATGCGAGCAGACGTCCCCTAACATTGCTCTGTCCTTCCCTACAACCTTGAATTTGCTACAAGGGAGACACTGTCGTTCACAAAGAGCATCAACGCACTAGATGTAGTAAAAAATATTTTCTACCTGCAACCTCACCCAGAGGCGGATACGTATTTCCGAAGCAACGACTCAGACTTCCTTTACTAAACTCAGGAGTGGTTGACCACTCGTAATGCCCTCATATATCTTTTGTTAGAGCATTCAGAATGTTTCAATTCATTGGGGTGCTTGCCACTTTATTCATCTGTCTCCCCTGTACTGGGGACTGGATATGACTGGGTCTGACGCTTGGGTCGTCTCCCTGGGGCCATACAAATGCACTTCGAACACGTACGATCCACAAGCTCACATTTTTCCTTACGCAAGTCGGACCTGCCTCCAAACAATGGACCTTTCAGCTCTTTAGACCTTTATGAGAACATTCCTGCGAAGTATCTATTTCCCATTCCATCGGCCTGGTTAGTTGTTCATGCATTTTAGAATACAGGTTGTAGACTGTAATGGGACTCACAGGAGACAAAGAGATGATTAGCAGGTGAGAATGGAGGCTTGGGAGAATCCCCGCACCAAAAATAGCTTGATATCTTGATAGCTTGATAGTCTTGGCTTAAATAAACTCATTCAAAAAATTTTGCTTATTAGAATTTCCAGTAAGATGTGCAAACTGTTCGTGATCTAACAACGTTATGCGTATTACTATGTGTGCTTGTACCCAAAGCCGTAGCTGGGCTCTTAGAGCACCAGTAGGTTCTGAACGAGCTCGAACTGGCTGAGTGATTAAAGTGCGACCGCAAGGTCCGTGGTTCGAAACCAACCTCCACATAGTAACTTTATGTCTAGTCTTAAGCAACCTGAGAGTATCCCAGCCATCGTGCTTTCTTCAAGGAGCACGGTAATTAGACGCCAGAAGAGTGTTACAGCTAAACGACCGTTTTTACTAGATTCTGAATACCATGTAGTCCGTTCCGTTGGCCATAAACTCCACACCCGAACCACGGTATAGGCGGTGTCTGTGTATAGGTGTGTTACAAGTGCGACCGCAAGGTCCGTGGTTCGAAACCAACCTCCACATAGTGACTTTATGTCTAGTCTTAAGCAACCTGAGAGTATCCCAGCCATCGTACTTTCTTCAAGGAGCACGGTAATTAGACGCCAGAAGAGTGTTACAGCTAAACGACCGTTTTTACTAGATTCTGAATACCATGTAGTCCGTTCCGTTGGCCATAAACTCCACACCCGAACCACGGTATAGGCGGTGTCTGTGTATAGGTGTGTTACGGTGCGTCGGTCTACATAGATTAAATACGCTCACAAATACTTTGCTGTAGGCTATTACGGAGCAGCGAGTAATGGACTCAGATGTCAGAAATGAAACGGATGTAAATGATACTACCTGTACATAGGGTTGTAAAGCTACTCGTCAAATGCCCCATGCACCAAATCGTTGTTTTCAAGCTGGCCATAAGACTAATATTTACAGCAAATTCAGTTTTTTGGTAATCATCTTTGTCCGGATTTAGTTTTGCCTCCAATGTTTCTTTACCAAGCAGTGCAGTCCAATAGTAGTCACATCATTTAACCAAAAGATCTGGCATTTAAGACCGGTGGCTGTGGGTTATATTAATACTGGTTATTTGGGTGCGCTTCTGAGCTTCCAGATCACGGTGCTTGAGGGCAGACACATCTCAGTATGACGAGTGATTGGCCTTCCGTATTTGTACAGTCACTAAATAAGGTTATATCTGACTAAATGGTGTAGCCACTCTTTGCATCCGAAAGCGTTTGTGGTCGTACGGAAAACTCATCAGGAGCTTCCGTAGACACATTTGCGTTCGACAAGAATTCTCACTTCCTTCATGCTCGTTCAAGGTTCTGGTTGGTGGGGAAATTAGGCAGGTTTTTGGATCATAATAGATTTGTAGTTGAAGAGAATACTGGTAGCTTAGGTTGTCGTGATAACTGCTGGCTTTCCTGGTGAGCTGGTTGTGAACATCTCACTGCGGGTTGAGGTGACATCATCAGTGCGCTGTGAGTGACAATACGCTAATGTTGAGAGTATCAATATCGTAATACAGCTTTCGGTCAAGGATGACCGCGTGGTCATCTCAGGGGTAATCTATCTGTGAATTGCTGCATAACTGCGGTCTAGAGACAGATATCAACTACATCTATTGCTATATGCAACTGGATTCGCACATCTATAATATTAATATTCCATATTATGGCACGCGTCCGTGGGAGGATCGCTGGTGCAACTGCGCGAACAAAAGTGTGCTAGGAGCGGATTCCTGTTACGAAAAGCATAAATTCTGGACATGTTGATAAACAGCTGGGTTCTGTATGTTACACCGCCGACACAAACGGGAGTTATCCCAGCCCTTAAGAGCCCCCATCGCGCTGTCCAGGTGAATTCCATGCATGCTGAACTGATTATTCCGTTTCAGAAGTCAACAGATTGCGGTCAACTTTGAAGAGGACAAACATCACAACATTTCAGTGATTTACTGCCAACTATAAGCTGATTCATGTCAAAACAGTGCCCCTTTATTTGTCAACACAACGACATTTGGTCGTTCATACTTGGCGGGAGGGGAGCGAGCTTAGCTGTTTGACTATTACCCAAGTTAAACCCTTCAGGGGGTCATCAACAGTGAACAGCTGCCCAGAGGATAACTGGTCCATAATAAGTATGCCTGAACCCGCCGGACCATCTGGATTGGAATTTCCTATGCATTCCATTCTCACCAGACCATCTCAGTGTTCTAAGCGATCGGACTGGAGAATCACTGTCCATAAAGTATATTTACGGCCAAATTTCTTTTGACTTGGGGTTTTCAGTCGGAAATAAACTGTGCTTGATTCTAACCGATTCAATCCGAGTAATGACGGTGGGGTGCGAATTGCATCAGTTTTACTAGCAATTGTAGGGGTTATGGCTTTTCTTAAATATCGTCCCATGGTTTCATATTAAGGTTATACTAAGCGTTGTTGAAACAAGGCAAAACTTTTCTACCTCGTTCCTGAATTCTCTTGAAATATTTTTAACCATAGGTGTAGACAGATATTTTATGGATGTAGTCTAGTCGTCTAGTGACTTGGCAATTTCTCGCGATTCAGTCCCTGAGGTATAAAACTGTATCAGAATGACATAACATAGCGATTCCACATGATGGATAAAAGTCGTTCAACTGCGGTACTTTTTAGACATGAAACTACCGTGTGGCTCAAAGGTCTAGACACAAACATCGAAGTGGGAGCCAAAATTCACAAATTTTGGTCAGTAGCCGATGGCATACAGCTGATATTCTGGTGAAAGAGAGCCATGGGAACTAAATAGTGAAACAACGGACGAGAGTATAACAGCCGGAATCATTTTTTCACGTCTCGAAGAAACGAAAGTAGCATAGCAATAGAAGAACATAGTGGGATTCAGAACGCGGACAGGAGAAAATCACCTTAACGCACTTTGAAAGCAGTGCTTCAGAAGCCGGCAGCCGACTTAGCGACTATAGCGTCTGAGGTCATATTTCCGTCCAAGCGCCATACACTACGGTTATGTATATTAGGATGTCGTGAGTCTACCTCCGGTTCACGTGAAACGAAATCCAACGGCAAGAGAGAACAAAATGAATTCGTCGCTCTTCATGTCACAGGGGAACGATTTTCGGGTTCTAGGCCGTGAAAGTATTATAAGTTGACATCTGGATGCACACACACACACACACACATGCCGGGTGAATAAGCTCTGGTAAGGGTTGTTTTCGATCGGTTTCAAAAACACCCTGTTTGTTTAGAGAGGGAAAGACTCTTCAAATCATTCTGTGCGCTCTGCTAATCGGTGTATATGACCCATCAGTTTGTCTCATTCGAAATCCCTTATATGATTTATGCAGATCAGATTGGATCAGTTCAGCGATGGGGTAATTTTGAGCCTGTATAAATAAGTGACCACACTCCCCCCACATACACACAAACCCACCTCACCTGACATAACTATTACCGATTCTACCATGGATGAAGACCACTGCGTCGGGTTTTTTTAACCTGACACCATGACGCAATCCAAGCAGCTCGTGACAAAGATGACATCTAATACAAACATTGGATTGAATGAGATAGCCATCTTTATCTCTGTTTTCCAGAAGTTTTGTATAGTGGACGCGCAAGTATGCCTCCCAATCCAAGAGTTAAGTGCAACAAAACTTTCCTAAAAAGCCGTCATTGAATGAAAAGTAGCCACATCCATCCACGTTGTTGAGGTTTCAAAACCAGTGCATCGATGTTGAAAGCGAATACCTGTTTAAGGCGTATTCCGTAGTGTAAAACAAGTTCATTGATTTCAGTAGATTGCTGGATGCAGCCTTGAGCTGAGCAGAAATCACGACGATCAAAACAACGCATCAAACAATATCCCATTAGACGGACTCCTGGGCGCTTCATTCTTTTGTCCGAATCCACAGGAATCTCACCTATTCTCCCTGTACATGCACGTGGGTAGCCCAACAACAAATCATTTTTAGACAGGTGTTGGTCGGGCCGAGCATACCATCTCCTGTCGACTCTGAACAAGGTGTGCGCTGGGTTTTTTTCTCTCGCATCACGGCACCTGCTGCATTTTCCCTTTAGTGCAATGAGCAGGTGGCTGTATCCGACACTGAGCAGATGGCAATAATGAAGCTTCAACATCCTGTCATAATTCGAGTGTATATTCATTCCGTCTTGAAGTAAGCTACTGTATACAGAGTTTGCAAGGCTTATTGAATGAACGCAAGACCTACCGTTTATTGGTAAGCTAATACTTCAGAATCGCCAATCCTTTGATTCGGCAGATTACTGCTAGAAACTGCGTTGTCTGGTACTCGTCGTGCCTTCTAAAAAAGCCAGGCCTAATGTACAGTTAGGCTGCAGAATTACAAGTCAATCTACGTTTCATATCGATTCTCTAGAACTTGTCACAAAAGTTATTGAAATCTGTTTGTTCCAACGTAGAAGTTGCGATGCACCCCGGTCTTGAACTCAAACCTACACCCGAGAGCCCGCTGGTGATAGGGAGTTGGTCAAAGTGAAGAAATAGCAATATCTTCATCCGGTATTTCCGCTCCGGTGAACAAGTCCCAGCCTTAATCCTATGGGCTGGCGTATGGGGTGTCAAACCCTGCTGGCGGGGCAAGGATAACCGAGAACCGTATTTTGGTCGCGTTTGATTTTACCCCTTTCATTCGTTCGCTTCTTAAATGGTCAACCGCATGGCGTATCTTCCGAGGTCTGATTCGTCGCATTAAATGTCACACTGGATTGTGTAAATTGGTGATATGGCCTACATACCGTAGACAATAGTAGGTTCTTTTTGGTAAGTATCTTCGCGAATCCCACGTGGCAGTAATCCAGGTTTCTAATATGTTCCCATAAGAATAAGCACCCTGAACTGATAACATACGTTGCTGATAAACAAAAGAGTTGTTCTCTTTCAGAACTCCCACCACCTGACACATAATACGTTTAAACGTATTTGTCACAGCCCTCCAACTGGTCCATTTTGCGGCTGCAGCGGGTTTCGGGCATCATATTTGTCGACTGAGCGACTATACTATGAATAATGGCAGGAAATTGTGTTCTGGTGAGAATAATTAGTGTTCAGAGACGGACTGAAACCCGCCGTCATGATGTGACGAAAGCTGCTTGCCAAAGTAGCTCGTGAGTGCTGAATGTAACGAAATTACTGCTGCTGAAAAGGTTAAGAAGTGAGGTATACCTTAGTCTGTTTAGCTAAAAGTTAAGCAAAATAAGTCTATAAACTTGTAAGGTACGATTTCCAGATTCCTCTGATTCCTCTCAGTCGCTTTGGAGACAAGTTTGTGGGAAATGGTAATACTCGCAATCATGAATTCAGCTAAAAGCTGAAAACTATGACGGACAGTCTTCTATTCAACTAGCCTTCGAATACGAGTTACTCACTAGCCGGGATAGGTTACCTTTTGAGGCACTACTCTGATCGGCTCTCTACAACACAGTCCAGTCGTACTCTGCTGAAACGCACCTGAAAAGGTCGGTAACCAGCTACAGCGGATACGACGAGGTTGTCGGCCTTCTCTATCGTCTTGCCCCATTAAAATCTATGATACCAAGTGTGTGAAACAACGAAAGCAAGCCCAAGTGCGGAATCTCAGTCCTCTTATCCATCTGTTCATTCAAATGCATTTGATGGTTATCTGATTGACATTGTTCAGTATGGATACCTCGCTCCTTTCCGTAAGTTTGCAGTGCATTTTAGCCTGGAAAATCTAACTCTTTATATGGAAATTCATTGATCCTGGCCAAATCCACTGTAACTGCCAACTAACATCAACTGATTTATACCACACGCTACACCTTAGCAGTGAAAGACAAGCTCCTCGCACTTTTAGACCGCTGAATTCATCTTTAATCAATGGAACTCCTAACTTTCCGGTTCTACAAAATCAAAACGATGTATGTGAAACGAAGAAATGCAGAGCTTCCAATAAGCTTACCGAAATCCTTTTTGTCCGACTCGTTCTGATGAGAATGAAGTTTGGCCAACTGTGTTTGGTAGATAAATCTAGCGATCTGTTGCACAGTTTCCAAATCCCCTGTAGTTGATGGTCCATCATGCATATTTGCTAATCGACGTAACAGTTCTGCTCTCTCATTCAACCACTCGCCAGCAGCTGGGGAATCATTGGGATGGAAATGTGGAGAGGAAGTCAGTGTTTGTGGAGACATTGCGGAAATGAGAATATCTGAAACAATCTGTGGATTGGATATAGAGTTCTGGACAGCTTCTCCGCCGAAGTTTCCTTTGGATTCACATTGAAACCGCAAGGCAGAAAGGCTACTGGGACAGACAGGTGAAATGTACTTCTGGTTTGTATCCGCCGATAGCGGGCGAAATGCGCTGAGTTCACTATGTCTCAAAGTGGCCGGCGACAGCCTGGAACGGCAGGCTCCTAGTTCGTTCATTAAAAGTTTTTGGTAAAGTTTGCAGTAAGTCTCCCTCTGTAATAGTGTATCTTCGTAAGTCCTTAATGACGAAGGACAGTCGAATGGCAATGTTTTCATCGTTTGGTATACATGGGATTGCGCGGGAGCATGCGCTGGTACCTGGATCTGTGAGTGAAGCATTACCGTTCCTTTGGTGAGCCAGGAAAGAGCCCACTTCGCACTTTTAGCTTAAACAGCTGGTCAGAAACTTAACTCTGATTGGCCCTGTCGTGCGCTGTCACTTCATTTTGGCACGATAAGTCAAGCGCACACTGCTGTGAGCCGGAGCGCGTGGACGCGAAGGGGTGAAACTACCAGGGCAGGCGTGACGCGCGTGCCAGACACGCACACGTCTTAACCAATTATCTTTTGACCGATATCAACGCGCGCATTCTGATTGGATAGCGCAGTCCAGGCTACAGATGCGCGTCTAATCAGCAAGCCATTCGGCCATTCGACTGAGACATGAGAAGATAGTTCAAGGATGTAAGCCCTATCAAGCGTTTCGGATATGAAGGCATTCGCCTTAAGAAACTTGGAAATCGTGCATCTAATGATTCCACTCGTTTAATGACATTGCATAAGGAACCTGAGAGACAAATATGTTCAAGATGCTCCGAAAAAATTTCTTTTCATTCTGCATTAACTACCTTGATCTCCGTTAACTCTCATTGGATTTGGAGCGCCGAAAATTATTGAAATACAGAAAAAACTATAAAAAATCTGGGAAGTTGGAGAGTTTCACTATAATCCAATAATCTGACATATTGGGTGCTGCCGTTTTGTACGAAACAATGGGCCACAAGTCCTTTTCATATCGGAGGATAGTGTTGCTTTATATTTATATTCTAAGACATTTGAATGGGAGATGTTATGGTGTGGATTTTTACTTCGACCAAAAGAAATATTTCAGATGTTCGATGACCTTTTCTGTGCTTCAGTAAAGCACTTACAAGTCCAGTGACGTGGCCAGCCGCATATTGGTGGTCAGCTACCGACACCTCGTCAGTACGGACGATTAAATTACTCACCCCTTTGCTACAATAGGGTGAACAAACTTGAAAAAGCCAGGCACATTCTATTGATTAGTGGTTGTACTTGTAATAGGGAGTGAATGATAGCTTAACACTTTGGTCCATCGTGCACAGACAGTGGTAACAAGGGCATCAAGCAGGGCACTGTATCAGTGAATGAGCGTTGATTGATTGCAGCATTTTCAACTTCCTTCGTATCCCGTACCCCAAACTACCTTAGCATTAAACTATGGATAAATCTTAAGCTGATCGTGAGTATTTCGCCATTTGCACAGAGTCGAGAGGGAGCTAACCCAGTCTCGTCATGAATTGCAGGCGCGTGCTGCATAAACCGTTTCCTTGAAAGGTAGAGGTCAGAGGTGGGCTGCTTTATTTAGACGCCTTGATCCCCTGCTCATTTTGTACAGAGCAGCAAGAACTCCCTGCGTCAGTGCCCTCCATTAGAACATTTTATTTGTATGTGGATTTGAGTAAGGAAATACTATTAAGTTTTTGGACGATTTGGTCGCCAGAAATACCAAGGGTATCATGGCTCGCTGTGTTTAACATGAGTCTACTTGTGATAGACAATATCTAGGCTTTATAAGTTTCTGTCCATTACGGTAAAAACCTTCATTGGTGTCTATTTTATCTCCCAGAGATAGACGAATTCGCATCTCCGTACACTGGCCGAGGGAGCTGGACTGCATAAAGACGTACTGTGATCAAATACCACCCTTGACTACTCCATCGAAATACACCTGGCTTCGAATGATCAACAGGGAGTACCTATCGTGGTAACGAAAAAGGGCACTCATATCGATGTATTTTTACATCGGTCATTATGCTTCCAAACTACCTAAAAGGATACTAAACATATCCCTCTAGCGTACTTACAACAGCACAGCTTTGTACGAAAGCATACGCACGGACTATGCTCCTGCCACCAGTCAGAATGCTAATTTCTGTTTTATCTACGACTCACCGCATCTTTCAGTTCGCTTGGAGTTGCGGAGGCCTGAGATGCAAGCAAAAAAGCATGTGCCCAAAAAACTCCCTTACACATCATCTGACCTTAACCTGATCAAATCCAGAGGTAATTCATCGATCGTCCAGTATCTAATCGACCTAGGACACCGATGAATTCAACTAATCTTTCCATATCTTAGCGCGAAGCGAGTGACCACAGAGGCTGATGTACCTTGAGATCATAGTGGTCACGCGTTTTCAAGCTGTCCACTGTGCTCAAAAACCCCTAAATTTATCGACTGGTCTCTTTGTTTTGGAACGCTGTAAATACTCTAAGCTGCACTACATTATACGTCACGCTGTTTCGCACGTTTCACAGTGGGAGTGTAAAAAATCAGTTCACTCCACAACTTTATTGCTTTCACTGCTTTGTTTGCCTGAATGACTGTGCTGTTTTCACTCGCTTGGTTGCGATTGTAGCCTTGTATTTGGGAAATCCTGAAAGGGGCCTTGTAAGTGACCTTTAGCAGAACAATATGAATTTACGTGGGAAACAGAACGACTACATTCGGTTTATTCGGGTGAACGCACTACACCAATGTACTCAGTGATATGGACCACAACTACATACATCATCTCAAAAGTAGCAATTCTCGATTTCGTAACGAGATTCTTACCTGTCCATTAAATTTTGCCGATAGGGGTCTGAAATTTACCCTGGCAGGGCAATCCATGAATGCCTGTTTAGTTGATTGACATGGGGACATGTTTATCCCGAACATAAGATTCAGTCCTGAGGGCCCAACTAATGTGGAGCGATAACTCAACAGTGTTTTCATTCTGTCACCATAACGTAACTTCATGAGTAGCGCGGTGCCTGGCACCATCTTCCCACGTTCGATTTCATACATTATGAGTAGTATTTCTCTAAAGAATTTTGCGGAGGTTGTTTGAACTATTTAAGTGACTGGCTATCTCCCAATGGACTAGTCCCATTAGACCCGGCTGTTCGATATACAGTAATCGATTTTATAGGCACTAAGGGGTTTTTTACTTTGACAAACCACCGTAATTTGTCTTCCGGTTGGTGCTAGAGAGCAACTTCGTGACCGACCGAACACACCTAATGAATGGTAATTGATCAGGTGGCTGTTGATCTGTTCGCCGAGCTTGGCAATTGATTTGCAAACGTTTCGTCACCAT